CTGTGTAGATTATGTTTTCCCAGTAGCACGCTTGTCACAGTTCCCAAGGTCCTCTTCCCACCGGAATTCCCCGGGTACCTCTGAAAGACGCCTCTTCGTTGTTATCTGAGGTGACTTCCTTGTGCACCACTTTCAGGCTTCCCTTCCGCCCAGGAGCACGCTTGTCACAGTTCCCAAGGGACTCTTCCTTCTTCCATAGTTCTTCAAATAATTTCTCATCAATATATATCTTCTGGTTCTCTATCTCTAAGTTATTCCTTTTATTTGTGGCTTCCATTTATTTTGCATCATTTGTATTTTTATTCATAGCTGTTAAAATGTCTCCATATAAAAAAATATCAACTTCCCTCTTTACCCTGGGGTATTAATTAGGTCTCTGATATTCTCTGCTGGTTTTGGAGAAGGCTTAAATTGTTTTCTCACAGTATTTCAAGCTACATGCTGCTTTCTTGACTGTATGTGAAGTTTTCATTGATAAGTGTTAAGTCGTTTCTGTTTTGTCTGTGAAAGTTGTTGCAGGTTCTTGTCTTTATAATGTTCCTAATTAGTTGCCAAGTTAAAATATTCAGTCTATTGAGTGAGCTAACCACTCTACTGTAAGTCCTTTCTGGGAAAATATGCCTTTCCTAAAGTCTTGGGGTTCTCTGTTCTGCACTACAAGCTCTGTAGGAATCTTGCCTTGAAGTAGTTCCCTAACACCAACTCTATAGGCTTCCTCCATGTATGAAGTGGATGACTGTTGTGAGACCAGGTGCTCTACCCAAGCAGTTTCTCATGCATCTTTTCTCCTAGAGTTAATATCTTCCTTTCTCTCTGGAGTGGGATGAGATTAGAGATCAGGGCTGCCAGATCAGGCAGCTTGTGTGCAGGGGTTCTCAAGTCACCCCTGTCTGTCTTGCAGAGAGCTATGAAAATTCTTTCCTTTGCTTGTAGTTCTGCATACTAAAGTCCCTTGTCCTGTTTGGTCCCAAGGATGGCCCCATAGCCATAGAGGCAAGAATCCCCAGATGGAGGGGCCTATAACTGCAAGGATACTTCAACCATGGTGTTTTTAATCACTTGCTGTGCTGCTGAGAAATAGGAAATTAATAAGGGTGACAAAAGAAAAATTGATGCCTTTGAACTGTAGTGTTTGAGGAGAGTACTGAATACCACATTAATGCCAACATAATATGTCTTGGAGGAGTTTCAGCCAGAGTGATCCTTGAATGCAAAGATGATAAAGCTTCATCTCACACACTTTGAATATTTTTATATGAAAAGCTTTTTCTTGGAGAGGGATATGCTTGGAAAGGTAGAGGAACAATAAAGTAGAGAAATATCCTCAGTGAAATGGACTGACACAGTGACTGCCCCAGTGGGCTCAAGTTTATCAGAGATTGTGAAGTTGGCACAGTATATGACAAAGTTCAGATCTATTGTTCATGTAGTCTCTATGAGTTGTACTCAACTTGATGACACCTAACAGCAACATTTTAACTCATAGAATGTACACAAAGAGCAATTTTACTGTGTATGAATTTTAATAGTTAAAGTAAAAACATTTAGATCTGTTTGAAAAGCTAATATACCAAAATTATGATATTGCCTGTTTAAGATAATACGATTATGTATAATTTATTTCTTTTTCACATTTACATGAACAAGTTTACTTTGGAATTAGTATATGAATAAATCTAGAAAAGAACTTTAAAATCATAATACAAAGGAAATTTGGGTAAGGAATGGCTTCCAACTGCAATAACCGCTGGAGTCACTGTGCACCTAGGCAACTGTGTAAATTATTCAAGAGTCTGTTTATAAAATCATAAAAGTGCAGTTCTTTTTAGAAAGTGAAGGTGAAAGTGATACTGGATTTTTGCTTCTTGAAAGCCCCTTTATCCTGGAAAACTTACTTTTGTATCAATTCTCCACTTAACTTTAGCATCAAATAAATGACATTCTGTTATAAGGCAACATATTTCCATGTAAACAGGTCTCTATTCACTGACTTATCCATTTCATAGCACCCTCTCTAAGGAGGATGAGTGGTGTTAGTTTATTTTACTTGCAAATAGGAATGGAAGTACTATAGTATAATAGTGTAGATAGCAAGCAGTGAAAATACTTTTTACTTTCACTTTCCTTCCGGTAAGCAGATAGTAATTTTTTTCTTGTAATGTGCCAATAATTACCTGAAAGTTAATATCGTAATTTTAAAGGAATTTCTTGGCTATCAATAAAATTAAATAAATTTTATGTGCCTTGGAGGAAAAAGAATTATATTCTCATTGAAAATTCATAAGCATGTTCTCTCATCTGCTTGTTTTTTCAGGATTTTATATTGCACGTTGATTATGCCCCTACATTACCTTGATCCATTTTTTTCATACATCTTCCTCAACCTACAGCTCATACTCTTGCAAGTCCTACATCTTTATTGGTGTTTTTTTATCCTGAAGATGCTCAAAAGATGCATATTCACAAAGGTAAGTCTTACTGCTCAAAACAAGTAGACTTTTTTACCAGATTAAAGATAGCATACAAAAAACACTCATACTAATCATTCAGGTTTAACCAGAATTATTTTTTCCTTAATTTTATGGATAGTGATAAAATGACTCTAAAATATCATTAAATTTTTCAGTATATTTAGAAAGACTCATAACTGATCTTCCAGTGTGCTTTTAGAGAATCTAAGGCATCTGTGAGGAAATACTCAGTTTTCTGTCACTGCTAAGGGAAGATACTGATAGAGCATAATTCAGAATTAGAAGAAACAGCTACAAACATTTTCTAATATTTGGAATATGTGTGAAGTATGAATTTAGGAAAAGTGGAGTCTGAAATGAAATGGAATGCATAAAGATTGATATTCTAAGCATTTGTAAGCCATTCTGAATGACATTAGTCTTGCCTTTATGAACCAGACAATTAAATTATCTACTATGCCAGAAACTTAAAATTGAAGAGGAGCAGTGTTGTATACGTCATCAAAAGGAAAATTTCAAGAGCTATCTTAAAGTGCAATGCTGTCAACAATATCCATTAGATAGATAGCTAGATAGATATGGGGGGGGTGTGTGCGCGCGCGCACGTGCGCACGAGCGTGTGTGTGTATAAACATGTTAGGCAATTGTGCTGCTGCTAATCTAAAGGGAACTGGTTTAAATTCACAGTCACTCCTTGAGAAAAATACAGGCAATCTCTTCCTATGAAATGTACAACATCCAAAAGCCTACTGAAGGATCAGCTATGAGTTTATTCCAACTCAATACCAATGAGTTGTTACAAGGAAGACTTGTTAATACACCTCTAATTGAAATATATGTACCAACCATTAAAGCCAAAGGCAACTAAACTGAAGATTTCTAACAACTACTAAAGTGTCTAATTTTATCATTCCTGAAATCAAGATACATTAATAATTGGTGGCCAACAGCAAGCACTCTCCATTGCTTGTGGAAGACAGGACTGAGGCATCCCTGGGGTCATAGGTGTATCCATCTGGGGGTCCTTGCTTCTGTGACTTTGGAACCATCCCAGGGGCCAAACCAGAGAAAAGACTTTAGTGTGCAGAACTCCAGTGCAGAGGAAAGAATTTTCTTGGCTCCATTGGACACAGAGCCTCTGCATACAGACAACTCAGGCAGGGGCCCTGGTCTCCTGCCACACCTGAGACAAAGGAGCACACCAAGCCACAAGAGAGAAGGTCAGGAGAGGTGCGGGCTCTGTGCCAGGAGCAAGAGCTCACCATTGCTTGTGGGGAGACAGGACTGAGGCATCCCTGAGATTGTAGGTCCCTCCATTTAGGGGTCTTTGCCTCTGCAGCTGCAGGGCCATCCCAGAAACTGAACAGAACTAGAGAATTTAGTACACAGAACTACAGGCAGAGAGAAGGGATTTTGTAGCTCTCTGTAAGAGAGAGGGAGGGCTGATTTGAGACCCCCTGCCTGCAAGTTGCTTGAACTGGCAGCCCTGATATCTAATCTCTTACCATTCCTGAGACAAAGGAAAACATTAAGCTGTAGGAGAAAAGGTGCATGAGAAACTGCTTGAGTAGAGCACCTGGTCTCACATCCCTCAGCCACTTCATATATGGAGAAGGCCTATACAGTTGATGTCAGGGGATTACTTCAAACCAAGAGTCCTACAGGGCTCTAATGTAGAACAGAAAAAAACGTCAAGGACTTTAGGAAAGGCAAATTTTCTCAGAAAAGACGTATAGTGAAGTGAATATCTCACCACATTTTAACTTGACAGCTAACTAGTAACAGTATAAAGACAAGAACAACTAACAACTTTCATAGACACAATAGGAATGATCTAACACTTACCAAGAAAAACGTCACATAATGTCAAGAAAGCAAAAGGCAGCTTCAAACACTGAGAAAACAAATTAAACCTTCTCAAAAAAAAAAAAAAAGCCAACAGAGAACATCAGAGACCTAATTAATACCCCAGGGTCAAGAAAGCAGATGACATATGTTGATATGGAGACATTCAAACAGCTACAAAGAAAAATACAAATGATAGAAGAAACAATGGAAGCCACAGATAAAGGGAATAACTTAGAGGTAGAGAATCAGAAAAAAAA